TGAAAAATGATGGTCTAATGTAAATCGAATATTTCGATAAAGAACATCATTTAATATTTTAAATATTTTAAATGTTAATTATTGTAATATTTTAATATTTAATAAGAATTTATTGTGATTAGACGGACAAGATTTAAATAATATATCTTCTTCCAATTTTATAAATCAATAGAGGTACAACCTAAGACGCTTTAGATCTGTGGTTAGCATACTGGTTTCGTACTCGTTGGGTCGTGGGATCGAATTCTCATAAATCCAACCTGTTTCTTTTTTACCTTCAGGCATTGTTATTTTATATTATACGAAGAATTGTTCTCCAAATTTTTTTTATTTTCCAAAAACCTTTCACAGTACATCATTGTATGGCAATACTATAAAACCAAATAATTTCACATTTGTTCCCAAAATTTGTTTTCGTTTAACTGATTTTTGCTTACTAAGTCGTATACGCTTAGGCACAACGAAGGTTTCGGAATATGAGATTACTCGTTCGTATTATAAACAAACACTACATATTCTGTTCGTTGAGATGGTAATAAATGGGTGTGATGTGGCATGTCACCTGTTTGAAATGGAAAGTCTGCCCTGGGGAGAAATTGTTACTTACAGAAAGACCACGAGGAAGAACACTGCTGACGTCATAGACAGTGACGAACAAAATGACTTGTAAATGTTTACACTTAGTCACTCTGAGGCAGGCATATAAAACTCGCGGCTATCAGCTATATGTGGCCTCTGTGATGTTTATACCGCCCAAAAGAGTTATCGACTTTACAAGGTTTACGGCCCCAAACGTTGAAAATTTTAATAAATTATAAATGCAAAATTCCCGTCAAATTACTGATTTCGTGTTGCTGTTTATATTTAAATAAAATGAGTTTTTGTGTGCACCTGTGGGAAAATAGAGGAACGAAATATAAATATATTTTAACCTTAAGTCCTCAATTAGTTAAGGAAGGCACCCACGTGATTTTCCCCTGAATAGCCATGTTTTTCAACCGACCTTTAGCAGACACTGAGTTACATATGCGTGATATACTGTATTTTTTAAAGTACAGTTTTCATCGTTTGTAAATAATATAATACGTAGTAATAATGCAATGCATTCGAGAGACCTTCGTGTAGCATGGTAGACCTTAAAATTTCGATTTAATTAATGTTCATTGTGGTAAACCTTCGAGTTTCATGCAAAACAGGGATTTTATTGACTAGCTGACTACATCGTCAGTTTCTCAAGGACTCTGCTTTTAAAAGCAATTTGTATAAGCACTTTATCATACAACCAGCCTGCCTGAGACACAGCCAACTGTCGTAGTTTTTCTGTGTGGCCTGTACTCTAAGAAGTCGTTAATAAATTCGGAAGATGAATATTTGCTAGCTTAATGAATATGTCACTTAAAATTCAAGTTTGTCGAATGTTATATGTAGAGCCTTTCTACCTTACAATTACGTGAAATACTGAAAGTGAAAGCACATAACTTTTAAGAAAGGTCCAAGCTTTCACCCTCCATCCGGGTGTGTCAGGCACCGTTAGAATACAAAACACTTCAGACCTGTTTATCTAACGTCGTGTACATTAACGCCACACGACGACACATTACGATACAGCGCCTAACCTTAAGGCAACTTCTCCAGCATACTTGAAGGGTGTTAGTCTAGTCAAAGTGTTGCAGGCGTTTTGAAAACCCAATCGACAATACCAATTTAGTCTTTAGGAGGGTCGTAAAATGAAGAAGCTAGTTCCCTCAAATCGATTTCATATTATTTGAAACTACGGTTTCATCGAAAAATGTCCTCGTTCTAAATTATAACTGCGATGAGAGAACTGACGTATTAAGCAGAAGGATTGGGCTGATCTGAAGATCCTAACCTTGACGATGATGCAGTCCTATTTTTTTTATTTAGTGTTCTGTCTGACGACAGGTCCATATGAACAGGATCCTTCCATCCTTTTCTCGGACTGGGACCTGTTCATATACGTTCTTGGCAGATGATCCAGAAGTGGTTTGCCATTGCCTACTTCTGTGTGTTAATGGGATGCCACGGAGAAACCGGGGAAGCCCCCGGAGGAAAACCCCGTGTTGCCTAGACCACGGCCTTGCCCAACACAAGTTATAAATTCGGGCACCGCCGGGAATCGAACCCGAGACCCCAGGATTACAAGGCCAGCGTTCTAACCGCTAGACCACCGTGGCAGAATGATGCAGTCCTAGTGGAACATAATGAAATTTCTGCAGTATGTGCAACGTTAATGCGTAAAACACAGCAGACATTGATCAAAAAATACTGTATACTTGTTCAACCGTCTTCGTTGGAACTTTCAACAATCCTGCAGACTACCATATAGATATGGTAGGACATCGTTTAAGCCAGAGACATTAACGGAAGCCAAACATCAAGAATTTACAATTCCAACAAATTCCCCCGCAGTCACAAGAACCACTTTATCTTATCCTGAGTTAACTGAGTCCACTTGAGTACCCTGAGGACGACGACAAAGATCGTGTTTCCACCTTCCAACCACCGGACACGGCTGGTAACCCAAGAAGAATTCGTCATAACCGAATCCAGCCCATAACTCGTTAAATAATATTTTCCCACCCAGGCCTAGATATGGTCATCTTCCCTTCAATTTTCCTGACTAAAACTTTCCCGTCTCCAGCATGTGTGCTATGCATCGATCTCGCATGCCCAGACTTGATCGCCGTTATAATATTAAAGAGGAGTACAAACTATGAAGCTAAATATTCGTGCCAATCCGACGAAGTTTTCGACATTTCGTAACATGACTGCCATCCCTTATGGGAAGTCAGTGATTGTTTTATCAATATATTTATAACTAACCCTTGTATTTTGAGGTCTTGTCTAATCGCGGTCTGAGGACGAGGCATACCACGGTGATAAGAGACTCACTTAAGATTTATTTCACGAAACGAAAAATTCAATCCTGTCCACGACATCTCAATATATAGGCATCTTTTCGACGTTTTGATACTCTGTTACACCTCCTCCTGACTTCTTGTTTTATTGTTCCAGTATTTGCACAGGAGAACTTCAAGTGTCCTGACGACTATGGTTTCTACCCCCACTCTCACTCGTGCGACAAGTACTGGAAGTGCGACGGTGGCACCGCGGAGCTCAAGACCTGTGGCAACGGGCTTGCATTCGACGCCACAGACTCCAAGTTTCTGACGGAAAACTGCGACTACCTGCACAATGTGGAATGTGGTGATAGAACAGGCCTTGGTGAGACGAAAATCCTGAATTTTTATATTTTCAAAACCGATAAAAGGTAGCATGAATGACAACTACGTATGTTTGTTAATTACATTTAAAAGTAGAATGAAAATATTTTTATTTATTGATAAAGTTAGTTCCACATTGGGTTTCGGCTCTAAAAGTTACTTGTAACTGTAATTTACAGATTGTGCTGAGGCAGTGGGCTTTTTAATCACTACTCAAAATGCACTTCAAGACTAATAGGACAAGTTGCCTTGAGCAATTGTCCTGGAATGGGCCAATGATCCAATCCTTCGAGTGGAAATGAATGAAAGAAAGAATGAATGAAGAATAAATTCGCTCCATTGAATTTTATCCTGGATTTTTATGTTTACTTCTGAAGATCGTAACCAAATATCTCTAAAATTCATTCGGGTATCCATGAGATTTTGCAACCGGTGTTTTCTTCTGGGTACGGTCTGGATTCGTAAATATTATGAAGACGAGCTTCGGCTTCAAAGGGTTAACCAGCTGATTTTCGTAATGGTGAGGTGTAGTGTTTTCTTCGCGGTATGGACTGAATTCATAAATAATATTCAGACGATCTTCGGCTTCAAAGGGTTAATACGACCTGTAGTGTTCTCGAAGGCTAAATGCAATTAAATATTGTCGGTCTATCGTTGAATGAAACTCCGAAGGTTTAGAGAGTTTGTTTGCCTCTGTCATCAGGGATGACATTTAAAATTTACGAGAATATTTTCCTACACAGATTCTTGCTTCGGATATTTCAAACAATAAATTGCAGTTTTATTTTTAACGTGTTCTAGTTAGGTTAACCATAAAATTCACTTGCTATTGGTTGGACAACAGATTCCTGTTTCCATTAAGGGTACAGATTTCACTCTTTGTCATCACGTCTGGAATTGCTATAGGATTCATCCGCCCTCATCCAATAAGCAAGTACAGCACGGAAGACTAGTTCCTCAAACGATAAAGCGGAGCTTGAAGCTGAACAACTAGGCCTACCTTACCCTAGTCTGAAATTTATGTAGCTTTATCTATTCCCATGTCCCAAGCTTTTAAAGCATAGTTTCTGTGCAAAGCCATAAAGTGCCTTTATGAAACAACGATAATTATCATGACAGGGGTCACAGTAATTTAATGTAATGTACAGAAACAACGATAATTATCATGACAGGGGGGCATAGTAATTTAATGTAATCTACAAAATTGTGTGTATGTAAAAATATATAAACTACTTTTAAGTAATATTTAAATAAGTGCAGACATTTTGAAAACCACGTGTTCATAGCCAACATCTGCAATAAGTTACCATAGTTTCTACCATCTGCATCAGCTCCAGTGTAGTGGCAATGACTATTATTTTCACCTTTCTTAAAGCAGGTCTTTTGGGATGAATCTAGATAAAGGGTCGTACAGCATTCCTCAAGTAGAAAGACGACCCCATGTCCGAAGCCATGGTTTAAAGATCCCCGTATATTTTCTTCTATTTTATTTTCATTAGTTACAAGCCTCGTAATACTTTAAACGAATTTGAAACTGCTTTTATGTTTTCACGTAAAATATAAAAATTCTTTTACCAAATTTGTTGAAAGTTGTAGAGTTTTACAAGAAGTTCAAACTTGAAATAAGTATGTATTATGTAATATTTAATAAAATTCACTTTCATTTATCTTACCAACTGACGATATCAAAAATTGAGGCAGGATATTTGACCTCAGACGAACTCATGCAAGATCAAGAAATTCGAATCACGTGCATTCTATTTGAAACCGTTTCACTCGATACGAAAAAATGTGAGTTACATTTAATGTTGCGTAATAAAAACACAGGGCCTATAGGTTATGTCACCAGTCTGACAAAACTCGTTCCCCTTCCAATAACCGTTATTGAGCAAGGTAACCGAACACAAAGGTGTGGCCTAATGACTAAAAGACCTCATTTGTATTTGGAAGTCCAGACTTTGAATCTCGATCCGGAGACAGGCTATCATGACATGCTTTGTGACGGCCTCAACAAGTTCCTCCTACATCCTTATCAATTTATCATTCCAAAATGATGCTATACAACGTATTTAGTTGTCACGGATGGTATAGAATAGGTATGCATCGTCTACCCAGCAGATTTCATCTTAAGACACAACTACAGGCAAAACAGTTCTAGTACAGAACCTGGGCCAACGCTGTAAGATGCTGGAGTATTCTATCAAGCTATAGCACGTCTCTCAAATAGGATACACTTTAAAATTAAATTACGACCCTTGTTGTTAAAAATAAACCTAAAATGGCGACCAAAATAACGTTTTCATAACTTTAACTTTTAGCTCCCTGGTAGCAGAGCCCGCAGGTCCAACACCGACAAAACCAAAGCCCGCCATCGGCCACGATCCTGAGCCAACTCCCTCACAACCTCCACCTCCCTAAGATCCTTTCCATAGATATCTTGTAAATCTCCGTCGGGTGAAAGAGTGCAGTTTCATCGAATATTCGACTATGAATTCTGCGTGGGAGTAAAGAGTATTTCTTGTAGCTTATTACAGAAATATTTACGAAACACAATTCTGGGGAACAAAGTCTGTAATTTTGTACTAAAACATGAAAGCTATCATGAAATACCTTAATACGGCTCATTACTTCTTTACAAAAACCCTTGAAAAGGAATCAAAGGTACTTCTTCCTTCAACACCGGAGCTTATGAGAATGGCAATATAAGGACAAACAAATCGCATCTCCTACATGACATAAAGCGCTCGTTTCCTGGGAAGAATTCCGTCTATAATGAACAAGAAGTTGATTATTTATCGACAGAATCATTGGCATATTCCTCGCCCTGATTACGGAGGCAGTATGACTTCCGAAACGTTGGTAAACATCGACCAGACTACACAGCGCAATAACCCAGAAGACAGAAATCTTCATACTCATCGCCCTGATGACGGAGGCAGTATGACCTCTGAAACGTTGGTTAGCATCGACCAGACTACACAGCGCAATAACCCAGAAGACAGAAATCTTCAGAATCGTACACTTATACGCATTTTCGCTGTTTTTTCTTTTCCAGAACCTGCTATCACCGCCCCCCACTGTCCTCGCCTGTACGGCATCTTCGCTGACGAGGCGAAATGCGACGTGTTCTGGAACTGCTGGAACGGCGAAGCCAGTCGCTACCAGTGCTCCCCCGGGTTGGCTTATGACCGCGAGGCGCGTGTCTGCATGTGGGCCGATCAGGTGCCAGAGTGCAAGGTGGAAGGTAGGTACTTCCACACCATACACGGCAAAAGGGCGAAATTCAACACGAATTCTGATAAAACTGTCTTTAAAACACACAAAGAAATATTCGAAATTGTGGGTTAGGTTTAAGCCGAGATTCGAAACCGGGACCTCGCAAATACGAAGAAGTGCCAACGACTCGTCTATCAAGTTCGGTGTCACGTGTCTTGCATGGTCATTGATGATAAATAAGTTACAGGCTTAAGTAGAAATTATTTACGAGCTATTTTTGTATGTTCAAATGGATACTGAAAATTAAATATTATACTGGACAGTTTCTGTTAATGAAGTAATTAAATTTTTCATTCACATTTTACACTGATTTCAGTACAGACTAGAAATAGATGGAAAATTAATTAAAATTAAATACCTGTCGATAGTTCTGTAGAACCTTGCGTTACTAAAATTCAGATATTAATCTGAATTACAAAGTAACCCCCTAATTTCCCCAGTACGATCCATCTACTCCGAATAACGTTTTACACCACACTCAGGAACTTTTTCCTTTCGTCTTACTGCAAAAAATTTGTGATGGCGAAACCCATAAACAAAACGTCGTCACTAAGTGGTTAATACTCATTCTTCATATTCGTGAGGTCCCGGGCTCATATCTCGGTTTGAAGATTGGCTGCCCTGACTGTTTCACCCCGTTAGTATCACCGCACCTCAAATTAGCCCACAAATGCTTCCCTTCACATCCCGCCCAATCCGTTGACACAATTTGATCTGAGTTACTGATGGCTCTGTTAAATGCGTGTTACAGAGGTAGCAGGAGGTTTCTCATGCCCTGCCCCTGGAGAACTTGCTAACACCGGTTCCTTCTCCCGACACGCGCACCCTGACGATTGCCGAAAGTACTACATCTGTCTGGAAGGCGTTGCAAGGGAGTACGGGTGTCCTATCGGTACAGTCTTCAAGATTGGAGACTCTGATGGCTCTGGTAACTGCGAGGATCCTGAAGATGTTCCTGGCTGGTGAGTATCTTCCCTTCGCATTCTCCATTTTATCCTTTATTTGTCTTACAGGCCTATTCGAGCATTACGGTTGCAAATAGACTTAATCTCAGTACTGGACCAGTTTTATATTTCCTAACTGACAGGGAGTAGACATGAAGTAACTTTTAACAAAACATCTGTAGTGCTTACAAGAAGAGATCAGATATACCGTTATTAAAACACTTTCAAAAATATCCATTTCATGCAGAAATCAATCTGTGCGCAATACAATACGTAATGTGCCTAGGTTATGGTAGCAAAAGGACTTTGGGTAAACACCAAATAAATTCTGAAGACTTTTCTTACCCTTCTTCTGGTATTCAGGAAAATACTACTTAGATAGCACCCAAAAAAATATATCATAATTTATATACAACCTGATTCATCATTATTTTCACAGCTTCTATAAAATTCCGATACCACGGGAAAAATACCATCATTATTTTCACAGCTTCTATAAAACTCCGATACCACGGAAAAAATAAACAAAATAAAGCAATTACAAAGTCCTTTTAGACATTGGGAAATAGAACTTTTAGATATAATTTCTGTCTGTAGACGAAATTGCTGTCATGAATATGCATCCATCCACTGTTACATACTTCTACAGCATCAAAGTGATCTCAGATCATGGAAGACTACACAGCTTTTGCGACCTACTCTGTACCTGATTTGTACAGAAAATCCCCACATACCTATTCCACTCCTTCACTGATTTTGTTCCCAGAACATAATTTTAGTAACCACTATATTTTATTATCAACATTACATACATAAAACGTTTTTTCATACTGTATAAATAATCATGAACCTTAATCTATTCTAGTTTAGCATAGATTAAACTTAGAGTGCTTCTAGTCCATTTCAAAGATCGCTAAAACTATAATATATTTCGTTTCTACGCCTTTTGATTTCTGGAATGTGATTATGGTGGTAACCTGTGCATTCAGTCTTTAATTCTTCATTGTTTAATATAACTTTAATTGACATACTTGTGTATATGCAATTTGCTTATAACCTCATATAATCATCTATTTATATCTTAAACCACAAGACTAATTTCAATAATTCAAAAATAAATTATTTAAAATTTCATTACTCCAAATCAGCAAATGGATGTAGAATCCTTTGCATTATTATCAAGAGATTCCAAGTTTTCATTCTATGAAACGCACAATATTTATTAGCATAACAGTCCAAGTTAAAATGTTTGGAAATGTTACGATTGTTCATTAAAAAGTTACTGGTCAGAATAAAAGATTGAGAGAAATTTATGTCTAAATATTTATTTAGCATTGTACATAGTTTTATTAATATTCTATTAATAAATTACCACCAAACACTGAACAAAGCCAATATATACTCTGTCTTCAATGACAAATTTGCAGCTGAAAAAAAAAATTCTATATATAACATCGTTTCTAGAGGCGACAAATTTGCAGCTGAAAAAAAAAATTTCTATATATAACATCGTTTCTAGAGGATTGTCTTAAATTTGAAATTATTCAATGATTCCAGTAACTTTTCAATTGGAAGCTATAGTACTTTAATTTCTTGCTACTTTTAAATGAACTTATAAGTACCTTAATTTTATATAAATACTTATTCTAACAGGTGAGCATTTTAGGCTTTTAATTGAACATCATTCTGGGTATTAGACGGTACTTAAAACACCTGTGGGGGCAGCATTTGCATGCACAATTATCATTCTCACTTTTGTTTTCTATTTATCTTTTCCACTTCTACCTCTAATCATTACCACCACAACAGCGAAGACT